GTGTTCAGGATGGGGAAATCCAACACTCATAACATCCCTGCATATTTCTTTCCACAAAAAAAGATATAAATTTAGAACCTATTCTAAAATATCCTGGTTGATTTCTCAAGAAAAGACTCCTAAAGTTCTCGGCGGTTTGGAAATACCCTTTCACACCCTGTGACTATCAGTCTTAGGCCCGTGGGCTGCTTCCATTCTGGCCCAGAAGCACTGCCTCCCCCTCTCTGGGCTCTCTTAGCACCAGGCTCCGTTAGCCAGGCCAGGGTCTGGCATAAAGTAAATGGTCCGTAAGGACTAGTTGAAATGTTTTGTTTGTTGACTAAAGAAGGAAAAGTGATTACCTTTGAAGAGAGTTCCTAAGAGATTCAGGAACCTGGTCTCCTCCGCCTCCTCCGGGTCCGTCTGACTGAAGGGTTCTGACTGCCGGAAGTGGCCCAGGGCTTCTCGAGTGAGCACGATGGCTTGCCTAAAAGAACATCAGCCTGTCACCAATTCAGCACCCAGAGAAGTGTCACCACAGCCCTTAAAAAAAACTGTGACGGACATACCAGGGTGTCACGGTGGAGCTCAGGCACTTTTCCTACTTCTGAAGTGACAAGGCTTAACTATAGTTTTCAGAACACTCAAATAAGGCTTTTAAATTAAAAAAAATCACAACCTTATTCCAAACATTTGTTTAAAAACTTTGCCAAGTAAAAGTATGGAAAAACTAAACTTTGAATAACTGGTTAGTTCATGGTATAGTCATACAATGGGACCCAATGTAGTAAAAAAAAAAAAAAAATTCTGAGGCAGTATACATTACTTATATACAAATATCAAAAAACACTGAGATACATAGTTGAGTGAAAACCGCAAGGCGGTAGATCAGTGGGTAAAAACTTCTATCATTTGTGTAAAAAAAGGGGAAAAGAAGAACATGTGTTTGGCTGTTATGTCTCCATGTTATCTCTAGAAGGACACTCAATACACTGTGAACACTGCTTCCCCCTGTGACCAAGTAGCCAGGCACAGGTTCGGAAGGCACTTTTCGAAGCATGTCCTTGTTGAAATTTAAAATTCCACACCATGTGAATTATTAGGTATTGTCTAATTTTTTAAAAAAGTAAATTTCTGCTTAAAAAACCCCCAAAAGCTTATTAAAGCCCTGGCTGGGTAACTCAGTTGTTAGAGCATCATTCCAATATACCAAGTTTGAGAGTTCAATCCTTGGTCACGGCACATACAGGAAGCAACCAATGAATGCATAAATAAATGGAACAACAAATCAGTGTTCTCTCTCTCAAAATCAATGAGAAAATAATAAAAAAAAACTAGTTAAAGTTATTTTTTAAAGTTTTAGCAAACAATGTCAGTTACTAAGACCTTAACCCAGCATCGACTGCTGAGGATTTCTAGAGGATGAGGTGATATCTTTAGCATGAGATGAAACCTTTGAAGTAAGTAAACGATCGTGGCCGAGTTTTAAAATACCTGATGATAGCTCTAAGGGAATTTTTGCCAAGCTGCTCGAGTTTCTGAGTCACAAAAACACTGGGAGAAACCTCTTCTCTAAGATCAGAATTCATACTAGGTTAATTTAAAGATTAAGGTAGCATTGATACTATTTGATACTATTTATTAGCTCACAGAATTTAGAAAAGCCATTATGAATCATATAATCTAATCAACTTAATTCTTTTTAAATTTATTGAGAGGAAAGTGGGGAGAGAAGGAGGGAGGGAGGGGGAGGGAAGGAGGGAGAGACAGACATTGATGTGTTGCTCCACTTATTCATGTATCACTGGTTGATTCTGTATGTGCCCTGACTGGGGATCAAACGCACAGCCATGGTGTATCAGTACAATGCTCAAAACAACTGAGCTCCCTGGCCAGGGCCTAATCAACCTTTTCTTTTACAAATAATGAAACCGAGGCCCAGAATAATTAAGCAATCTACTTAAGATTATACAACTAGAATTATACTAATAGCTTTCTCCTTCAAAGGAGGACTTTTGTCATCTTTAACATAATACAATTTACATTTAGTTGTTTTAATAATTTCTTTAAACATCTGTAGCCCTGACTGGTATGGCTCAGTGGGCTGGGCATCATCCCACAAACTGGAAGGTTGCTGGTTCTATTCCCAGTCAGGGCACATGCCTGGGTTGCAGGCCAGGTCCCCAGTTGGGGGGGGGGTGGGCAGTGGTGTGTGTGTGCAAGAGGCAGCCACACATTGATGTTTCTCTCCCTCTCTTCCCCTCTTTCTAAAAATAAGTAAAAGGACCCATGGACATGGACAACACTGTGGTGAGTGCTGGTGGGAGGGAGAATGTAAGAGGACTAAAAAGTAATGTGAAAAAATACAATAAAGATTAAACAGAATACAAAAATAAAAATCTTGAAAAATTTGTAAAAGTAGAAAAGCATGCTTAATTGTGGACTGTGCCTTTGGCATCAATCTGGCCGGTCAGACGGTTTCTGCAGTGAAAACACCTCCCGTCACCTGGTGGCAGCACAGTCTGTCGTTTCCCGCAGGTTAAACTCTAAGCCTAAACAGGTCGTTCTACAATACCTCATTCTTTCACATACTTGTAATTAGCTTTGGCAAGCAACCGACGGATGCGTCCTTTCACCACTTCAGCGGTCTCTGTAGTAGCAATTTCCTCAGGAATCTCTTCCTCCGGGGGCAGTTTTAGTAGCTGTTGCAAGGTAGACTTCAACTCTGGCAGCATGGCTTCCCACTCCTCCTCTGGGTCCAGCACTGCAGCTGAATGAGAAAGTCTCAGACTCTTTCACTGGAGTTTCTTCTGCAGGGAGACGACTGTCTGGGGTGGGGATTCCTATGCAGTGACTACTCACAAGCAGCTGCAGTTTGCCTCTCAGCCCTCATCTCTTGTAATTTCTGAGTTTCTTTCTGCAGCAGTCCAGCGAAGTCAGCATCACTGAGCTATCAAGGTAAAATGAGTATCAGGGTCACTAAGTCACATTACTCCATCCCAGTTTCCATTTGATTCCTTTTGGTTTTTGGATGGCCCAAGTCTACTTACCTTGCAGGAAAAGGGATTGTTGGCAAGAAAACTGGCCAGCAGCTGGATAGCATTTTTACACACCAGCACCGACTTGTCTGCCAGACGTCCCACTGCTAAGGCCACCACTGCCTGGAAACGTGTCAGGGGGAGAGCCTGTGTAGGACAGAAAGGGAAGCATCAGCTCACAGCCCACATCATCCTTTCTGCTCAAGATGATTTTGAAGTAAACTCCAAAGAAACTTTTCTATGGGACATAAAATAGTTAAAGGAGGCCCTGGCTGGTATAGCTCAGTGGATTGAGCGCAGGCTGCAAACCAAAGGGTTGCCTGTTTGATTCCCAGTCAGGGCACAAGCCTGGGTTGCAGGCCAGGTCCTTAGTGGGGGCCATGTGAGAGGCAACCACACATTGATGTTTCTCTCTCTTTCTCCCTCCCTTCCCCACTCTCCAAAAATAAATAAATAAAACCTTAAAAAAACCAAAAACTGTTAAGGAGTACTCTAGTGGTTAGGATGTAGTATAGTCCTTTGGAAGACGAAGATCATTATTACTGGTAGTAGCAACCTGAATTCTAGGTTGTTTCTTCTTTGGGACTGGTATTTTTGACAATGGATATCTCTTTTCTTCAGCCTGTACTTAGAATGGTACCAATATCTATCACGTAGAAGGCTGTTCACCTTCTGCTGGACGATCCGGGTGAAGAGTTGCAAAACACGGCTCCGCACAAAGGAGTTGACATCATGGCCATGGGCCTGCAGGGTGTCCAAGAACTGGTCTCTGGTGTCTCGGGCTGCTTCCTCCAGCTGATCACCATTCAGAACCTGCAGTACCATCTCTGCCATGGCTGCGAGCACAGCATTGCGCATCATGTAATTCTGAGAGAGAGACGAAATTGGTATAAGCCTCTGCTCTCCAATACTAACTGTCCCTTTCCTAAGTTCTTATGCTGGTCCAGGCACAAAGAAGGGGCAAGGCCTTTGGTTAAGGTTTGTGTCTAAGCTATACTTTTCCTGGTCAACTGCCTAGGTGTTCACCCCCGAGGTCATTGAAAAAAGCTGAATCCCAGAGGGGCCTTTACCCAGAGGAGAATGCAGAGTCAAAATAAATAAGAGCCAAAACCCATTTTGCCTCTAAGGTTCATGCAGGTAATCATGGTGGTAGCTGAATGTGAAATCATACTTATCCACCAATATACATCTGAAAAGCATTAATTACTACCTTTAACCTGAGGTCTCAACACCTTTGATCCATACTAATAAACACCCTCTTCCCTCCCACTCCCCTATTTTACTGACAGAAAAGGAAACACAGAGAAACAGATATCAGTTTCTACAGTGTCAGCAAGTGCATTTACTGCAAGATCTAGTGAAGGGGGCTTGGGGTTTTTCCTAGGCCAAGAGCCAGAGAATGGGGTCTTGGGCAAGAGGTTAAAGTGAATTAGATGAATGAGGTGGATTGTCTTCGTGCTCGATATTCAGGAGTGTCCCGCATCAGTCTGGGATATGGCCAGGCTACCGTTCAGGGGTAGCAGAGAACTGAGAGATGACACAGGTTCATTTCCGAAAGCTTATCGTATGGAGGAAGCTTATTGTACTTAAGTCAGGTGGTAGGAAGAGGCTTCACCCTAAGAAATGGGTGGGACTCAGAATCACAGCAGAATCACCCTCACTGGACTTAAGCTGTGGAATTGTCATCTCCCTTACCAGTCCTGGACAAAACCAATGTAACATTGAAATAGGCTCTTCTGGCTTAGTGGATTGAGCACCAGCTTGCGAAATCAAAAAGTTGCTGGTTTGATCCCCGGTCGGTGAACATGCCTGGGTTATGGACCGGGACCCCAGTTGGGGGCGTGAGAAAGGCGACTGATTAATGTTGTTCTCCCTCTCTTTCTCCTTCCCTTCCCCTCTCTCTTTAAAAATAAAATAAAATATCTTTAAAAAAAAGAAAAAAATAGGCTCTTTATTCAATAAACTTCATCTGTTTCTCTACAGGAAGGAACTGCCACAGTGATAAGTCCAGACAACTTGCCTTCATGTGAAAGCTTCCTTCTTGTTAAGAAAGAGCCTCTCGACAACGGACTTACAACCCCCAGAAAAACTCGGGACCCCCAGGGTGCCACCTACCTCTCCATCAAGATGATCTAACAGAACGCACATGCTGCACATCAGGATGTCTGGGATGCGCTCTGCTAGTTCTGTCAAGAAGGCTGCAAAGCCCTTCGCCCCAGCAGTGTCCCGACTCAGCTCCAAGGGGCACTTCTGTCCAATCTCTCTGTGCAGGGAGAAAACACAGCTGAGCGAGATAATTCAGTTCCCAGCGAGAGAAGGTCAGACTGGTATCTAATAGCTGAAGGAACCCAGAGCTACACAGAGAATATACTGTATTTCCAATCTTTCTTTATCCTCTCCCTGAGAGAAATGAGAAGAATTAGAAACTCAGAAGTGGATGAATTACCTTACAACCTCTCCCACTATGCTCTTCATTCCATAATCAGTCGCCCATAGACTCACAGCCGCCACCAGCACAGGCGCTAGGTGTTCAAAGTGCTGCAGCATCTGGATGATCTTCACAGTGGCACCTGTGGAAGTTCTGAACATGAGACATTATGGGCAAAATGAAAACGTCGGGGCAAAGCGAAGGACTGACTTACTGAGCATATGGTTATAACGTGTCAAGGCTACACCAAGCAGGTGTGTTATGGCTTCCCGGGTAGGACGGTTCTTCTGGTGACTGATGGTGGGGTTCTCCAGAAGGCGGTAACAGCACCCAGTAACCAAACTGAGAAAAGAAGAAAGTGAGATGCTGAAATCAGTTGTCTGGACTCAGTCACTCTGGGTCGCTGCCTCACTCATTCTATTTCTACTGCCCCCAAAGCAACAGTCTTCTAGTTTTCTTCATTTTATCTACCACCTTCTATACCACGTTGTTTTGCTGACCTCAGACAGGTACTTGGGCCTTTAAGGTTACCAACTTTCAACCAGTTATGATCCTGGTACAGAACCTGAATACACGAGTAGGCAAAAGAAGGTTTATAGTCATGAGAATGCAGAACAGAGTTTATTCTTGTTACTTATTAATTATTGTATTATTAATCTTATGAGCAACTGTAAACCTACTTTTGCCCCACCCCTGTATCTAAGAGATAGGACAAAATCATCAATGCCTTCTCATTGTTCTTCTCTTTTTTTAAAAAAGATGTTATTTATTTATTTTCAGAGGGAGGGAGAAAGAAAGGGAGAGGAAACATCAATGTGTGGTTGCCTCTCATGCACCCTCTACTGGGGACCTAGCGCACAACTCAGGCACGTGCCCTGACTGGGCATCGAACCAGTGACCCTTTGGTTCACAGACGAGTGCAATCCACTGAGCCTCACCAGCCAGGGCTCATCATTAAATATACTGGTCAATTCAGTCCTCATCTTAATTGACTTTTCAGCTCCATTTGACATAATCGATCACTCTTTTCTCTTTGAAACATGCTTTGTTTGGCTTGCGGAATGCCGGACTTTCCTTTCAGTTTCTTTGTCTGGTCCCTCCTCATCACCCCACCTTCTTAATGCTGGAGTGCCCCAGAAATTTCTTTATCTTTGGATTTCTGCTCATTTTGTTTGAGTGCTGGCCTGTAAACTGAAAGGTCACCGGTTTGATTCCCAGTCAGGGCACATGCCTGGGTTGTGGGCCAGGTGCCCAGTAGGGGGCATAGGAGAGGCAACAGATGGCTGTATCTCTCGCACATTGCTGTTTCTCTCCCTCTCTCTCTTTCTCCCTTCTCGTCTCTAAAAGTAAATAAATAAAATCTTTAAAAAAAATAATAAAAGGCAAATCTAGCAAAGATTCCTCATTCCTCAAAACTCAATATTACCTGTAGTCATTTTCAATGCCCACCTGACAAATTCCTCTTCAATCATTGAGTGGTTCCACAGGTGACGAATGTCCAGCTGGAGCAGCTGTGTTAAAAGCTGAAGAACTGGTTGCCTCTTCTCTTCCCACTCAAAGCCATGGGCTGACTTGGCCCGAGCTTTCTTGCTCTAAAACCAGATCACATGTACATTTAGGAAAAAATAAGAAAAAAAGGGAGTCAAGATCTGCTAGTCTGAGTGCCTAAACTATTTAATATGGAGACAAGGTAGAAGGTAATACAGAAGTATGACAAATTCCAAAACATAAAGGAACTGCTTGTCATGGAAGGGTATGTTGTGATACTTGTGAACACTTCCTCATAAACCCTAAATAAGAACAGAAAGGAGTCTCAGAATCATTGGATCCCCCTCTTTCCTATCAATTCGCCCACCCTTCCAGGCCCCATGTTAAGTGAGCCAGGCACTCCCACTCACCTTCCCAGCAAGGTCCAGGTCCATGAGACCGGTCTGACTGGTCATGGTCTCAAAGGATTCCAAGAGGCGTATCAGAGCATAGCAGTTCATTTTGAGGACATTTAGGTGGGCGCATCTATCTGCTACACTCAAAGCTGCATCATCCAGGATAGCTGGAAGCTCCTGAGCATGGCGGGATACCACTGCAAGGGGCAGAATCTGGAGTCGGTTTCATTCACTTTCCTCAAAATACCCCGACTTCAAAACACCCTGCACTAGCAGCCATCAGATTACCAAAGATCTGTGTTTCATCTCTCAGTGGCCACAGTACAAGCTAAGTCCTTTGGGACCTCTGACTCTGATTCCATGAGCATGTCCTGTCCCTACTCTCTCACTCCAGTCACCACAATTTCTTCTCGGCAACTGGACAGAATCACCTCTATGAAAGAGAGGTAGTTCAAAAGCAGGAAGAATTTCCTGTTGGTCTGCCCTTACAGTGAACACACACAACTCTGTATTGCCCACCAAGATTACAGACCTTAATAGGTCAAAGGTCCCCAGGCTTAGCCAAACCAACTGAATCACCACAGCCTTGATATCATCATGTGGCTGGTAAAATGTAGTAAACAAACAACAAACACCTTCCATCCCCTACCCCCCGCAGCCCATAAACACCTTTTATCAAGAATTCCAGGGCATCTTCCTTGAGGTCAGGATCTATACTTCGAAAGTGACTATGAGGGAAAGAAAGTGCAGGGGTGAGACAGGAACCTGCAGAGCCCATTCTAACAGATCAGATCCAACTTGAAGAATCTAATGGCTAAAAATGCACGTGAAATTTCTCAAATGAATGAATATGGTGGCAAATTGGTGTAAATGCTCATCAATGAAGATATCAGCACCCAGAACCATTTATCGGTGAACTATAATTTGGAATTTCAGGGCTAAAGTGCAAAGTTAGGTCAAATAGCCACCAGTTCTTTCGAAAGTGGCAGTGGACACTTTACTTACTGTAGAATGCTGTAGATGGTATCAAAGTGCTCCAGCATAGCCAAGGGCCCCTTAGCTCGGAAGGCAGCCTGAAATGCTACAGAGATGAAAGAAAGAAACTGATCAATACAAAGGGGAAAGGCCTTTTTGGTAAATTCTACTCATGGCAGAAAACTGAGTTATTTGCTTTTATGGGTAGAATCACAAAAGAAATAGCTGGTTTCAGTGTAATCTATATAGCACCTTATATTTTGTCCTCTTTTACAATGAAAGCCTTGAGTTTTAGCATATCTCTGAGTTAGGCAAGGCAGATAGTATCATGCCTATTTTATGGGAAAAGAAATTAAGTCTCAGAGTAGTTATATGACTTGTCCAACTTAGAGCAATAGTGAATGCAAACTCGGGATCTTTTATTTTATTTTTAAATTTTGAAATTACAGAAGTGGCAAAACCAGTAGAGTTCCTGTACTTTCCTCCCAGATAATGTTAACATCATAGATAACATAGTACAAAGACCTATTCTAAGTTTAAAAAAATTAATTAATTAATTAATTCAATGCTATTAACTAATCTACAGACTGTACTTGAATTCTGCCAGCTGTTCCACCTGTGCCCCTTTCTGGTTCACAGTCCAGTCTAACGACCACAAAGCATTCAGTTGTCATGTCTCCTCGGTCTCCTCCAATCTTTCTGTCTTTCATGATTCGAAAGTAGTCCACTTTCGAAATGGACTACTAGCCAGTTACTGTATAGAATGTCCCTTAACTTAGGATTGTCTGACATTTCCTAATGGTTAGATTGAGGTTATTCATTTTTGGCAAATTACCATGGAAGGGAGGCTGAGTCTATCAGATGTGTCACACAAAGAAGTATGTGATGTCGATGTCTTATTACTGGTGATGGTCACTTTGATTACTTGACAGTATCTGCCAGGTGTTCCTTCTGTACAGTCACTATTTTACACTTCACAATTAGTAAGTATCTTATGGGGAAATACCTTGAAACTGTGCAAATATCCTTTTGTCCTCACCTTTGCCCACTAATCTAAGCATCTATTAGTGATTCTTACCTGCCACAATTATTACTGTGGTACTTACTATATGGTGACTTTCCTGTCTCCATCTTTCCTTGTACACTTACTAGTGGGAATGCCACTATGAGGATAGCTGTCCTGTTCCCCTCATTTATTTATTCAATTATTTTTTTTAACAGAATGGATTTGTGGATATCTCTTTTATTCTGTCTTAAGCTGCTCCTATTGCTATTTATTTTGTTGCTCAAATCATCCCAAGAACTTGATCACTGGGAACTCCTTCAACTTGGCCTGTCCTAATACACCCCCTTCACTTGTATTATCTTACTTTCTTGGACCACAAGATGTTCCCGCTTATCTTTCCTTTCCCTGACTCTGTCCTGGCACCAACAGTCTCAGCAGAGCCCTGGTTCCTTTTATGGGAGAATGGTGTGTAGAAACCAAGTTCTAGGCACTAGTTAGGTTTATGGCTATTGGAGTATCATTCATTGCTTTCAGGCCCCCTCAGTAAAGTAGGATATAAATGTATGAATACACACACACACACACACACACACACACACACACACACACACACACACCCCTGTATCTACTTTATATATTAAACACATGAGTTCATATTTCATTTATGTATTTGCTTCATCCTAGTATACCCATAAAACAGTTTCAGAATTGCTAACCCACACCCCTATAAAAATAAAATTACTATCTAGCTTGCAATAATTGTGTAAAGTTCTTCTGTATATAGTCAAAATATGCCTTTCAAAGTTACTTAGGTTAGTTCTTTCCTTCTCTACTCCTTCTCTACTCCTTTAGTGTGATTATGCCAAACATTTGCAATACACTTAGGTTTATTTGTTACTACCTATATTTACATTTTGAAAATCTAGCATTTTTTGCTTCTCAAACTCAGTGCTCTTTTCATCCTGATTGTCTACATAAAAACTTTGGCACAGAGGGGAGTAGAGTCTAATGTCTTACAACATGCAAGAGTGGCAAGGAAGTATGGGAGTTGGGATCAATTTTTGAACCAGGTTGTATACCTAACTCTTTCTGTGAGGGAAAGAAGTCCACCAAACTCTCCGGCAAAACCGGTTGGTTTGTCTGGAAAATACAGCTTGAACCTTGTACTCCTTTATCACTTTTGGTGTTGACCTGATACAGTACAGTGTTGTGTTGTATACCTGGTTCTCTGCGATTTTAACAAGATATTTTAAAATTTCCTCCAACTCTAGCCCCAACCAGTATGGCTCAGTTGGTTGAAGCGTCATCCGGTAGACTGAAAGGTTGATTCCTGGTCAGGGCACATACCTGGGTTATAGGTTTTGTCTCCCATTGGGGTGCATATAAGAGGCAACCAATTGATGTTTCTCTCTCTCCCCTCCCCCCCCCCCCCCGCTCTAAAATCAATAACATGTCCTTGGGTGAGGGCTAAAAAAACAATCCCTCCAATCTCAAAATAAATTAAAAAAATAAAATTTCCTCCAATTCCTACTACTCCCTCGCACTATACTTGGACCATGTTCTTTCTTTTGGCTTTTTCTTACCCTTTGCCTCCCTTTCTCTAGTAGATCGATTGCTTTCTACTTTGCCAAAAAGAATGAGACCTAAAGCATGGGATCCCTCATGTTACCTACAAATCACTCTTCTAACATCTTCCCATTCTTCACCTGAGACAAGTGAAAAGAGTTTTTTCTAAAGCTAACCTAACCCGTCTTGGCGACCCAAAGATTTATCTCCTCTCTTTCACCTTTGGTTTTATCCTCTGGGGGGCACTCTGCTCTTGTCCTGCCAATATGCTAAGGTCTCCCTTCTTTAAAACAAAGAAATAAACTCAATGCCTTTTATTTGACCTTATTATTATATCCTTATTAAATTTTGCCTAATCTTTCTGCAATCTAGTTTTTAAGATTTACCAATCCAACAATGATTTTTCTCAAACATTATCAATCACCTAATTTTTAATTTTATTTTATTACAACCAACGATTCTCTTGAACCATATCCCTCTTTACTTCTCTGAAGCATTACCCATTGATCTACTTTAGGGTCATACTCCTTTAGGCTTACATTTGGCCTGAACATTTACTCAGCTTACTAAGTCTCAGTTTCGTCTTCTGTAAATAAATTGAGAGTAGTAAAAGATCACACCTCATAGAGCTTTTCAAAGTTTTTGGTACAGATTTAATGAGATAACACATGTGAAGCAATAAGAACAATACTTAGCACATAAACTAAATCAGTATTATAGGTATGCTCTTTACCACTCTTACAAACCACCATCTGTAATCTGGAAAATACAGAAAAATGGAAAAGAAACAAGTATTGCTAACATTTGGCTAATTTTTTTCATTGTTTTCTATGCACAGTATTTCTACTGTTGAGGTCATCGCACATTCACTCCTGTTATGCTTTTTAAGACTTAATATTGCAGTAAGATTATAAAACACATAAACAATTTTTAATGACCATACAACATTCCACTGAATGTATCTGAATCAACAAACTATTCTGCTATTGTTAGACATTATGATGTTTCTAATTTTTTCCCACTAACACATTTACACCCCTGGCAAATCTGGATTAAGTCCAGCTCACTGCTTACTCCACTCATGTAACCACACAATTAAAAATGGCTTGAAAAAACACACGGCCATGCTGACTATTCTCACTTTAAATTTATGATTTAGTATTTCCTGGTAAGCCTATTAAAAATTCCTAGGCCTATTTACTTTCTTGTAGGCAATTTTCCACCTTTCCTCTGCTCATTACATCAAGACCTTCTTCCCCAAGTCACCCTCAGTTAAAGGCATCACTTCTTATCTCACTGAGAAAATAGAACTGGACAGAAAAAGAACTTCCAGCGGCCCCAAGTTCTGTATTTACCTGCACCACCTGCATCTTTGCTCATACACTGACTTCTCTTTGCCTCTGCAGATAACTTGTCCACGCTCTAACAAGACCATTTCCCCCCCCTCTGCCCCACATCACACACTCTTACCTACTTACTGAAGGATACTGCTTCAACAAGTTTCCTCTCCGTTCTGCATCATCAGCTGTTCCCTCTCTGATCATTTCCATTCATCTTTGCTTATTTTACAAAGCAGAAGAACAAAAATCCCCCCTTGAATTTACTTATCAGCCCATTTCTGATACTCCTTAAAGCAAAACAGACCACCATCTCTAATCTCTCCTCCCATTTCCTCACAAGCCTATTCCATCACTCCCCTGAGAGTTTATATCATGGATGCCAGCAATTGTCACATTGCTAAATCTTAATTTCCAGTTGGTCTCTCCTTTCCTTTTTCAAATACTCTTACTTTAGCTTCATCATTCACTTTCTGTCCCTATGACTGACTGGTCCTTAGTTTCTTCTACTGGATCTTTCTCATCTCTCTAGCCTTTAAATGCTGGACTTGTCTCAGGTCTTACGACTTCAAATTGCTTTTCTTCTTCATCTACATTCACTCCAATCTCATGGCTTTCAATGCCCTATATGTGCTGAATATTACATCTCAAATATCTTTAGCTGGGACCTCTCCCCTGAACTCCGGTCTAAACCTGCTCCTCTAATATCCTCAACTCAGTAACGACAACCCCATTCTTCTAGTAGTTCAAGTCAAAAAGCCCTGTAATCCCAGATTCTTCTTTTTCTAGCCCTATAAATCCAATCTGATCCAACAACAATGGCTCAACTGTTGGCTCAACTTTCAAAATACATTCAGAATCTAACCTTTCACGATCCTCTCCATTGCTATTGCCCCAGGCAAGCTACCTGGGATTACTGTATTAGGCTCTTACAATCTCCTCAACGGAGTAGACAATGATCCTTTTAAAAAGTTAAATTATGTCACTATCATGCTCAACACCCAATGGCTTTCAGACTCACACTGAAACTAAAGTCTTGACCATGACTTGCGAGACTCTGGACCAGTGCTTCTCCAACTTGATGTGTATCTGAGTTACCTGGGGATCTTAAAAAATGAACTTTTAAAAATTTTATTCATTTATTTTTAGAGAGAGGGGAAGGGAAGGAGAAAGATTGGGAGAGAAACATCAGTGTGTGGTTGCCTTTCATGTGTTCCCCACTGGGGACCTGGCCCGAAACCCAGGCATGTGCCCTGACTGGGAATTGAACCGGCAACCCTTTGCTTCACAGGCCCATGCTCAATTCACTGAGCTACACCAGCCAGGGCAAAAATGAACTTTCTGATTCCGTAGTTTTGGGATGTGTCTTCATCCAACATTTCTAATTTGCTCTTAAATTTTGATACTAACGCTGCAGGTCCTGAAGACCACACTTGGAGGACAAAGACTCTGGAATGATCTGCACTACTTCCCACTGGACCCCTAGCTTACTCCACACTCCAACCATATTGGCATTTTCCATCTTAGGGCCTCGGCACTGGCTGCTCTGTCTGCTCGGTATGTCCTTCCCTGAGATCTACATAGGTCGCTCCCTCATTTTTAAGGTCTCTGCTCAAATGTCACCTATCAGCAAGCTTTCTCTGATCATCCAACATAAATTGCCAGAACCTACCTTGATACACTGTACATTTTTCATCTTGTTTTATTTTTCTTGCTGACACTTACAACAACTCCATATTTATTTATTACTTGTTGAAAGCCTTGAGAGCACTTTGTCATCTTGTCTGTTTTGTTTGCTGTTGTGTTGCCAGGGCCTAGAACAGCGCCTGGCACATAGCTTCATCAGCATACACTTGTTGAACAAATTAAATGATTTGATCTTACATATTTATAGAACTTGTATATAGTACTTTAAACACCAAAAGCAATGCAGCTGTTATAAAAAAAACGACTCTTAAACAGAGTGATCATCTATTTAAAAAAATAATGCATTACAATAACTGAAGAACAGTTGGCTCCAAGGTGTGGCATGTGCAATTGGCAGTGTGTCAACCTGTACAGTAAGGAGAGAACAGTCCACCTGTGACACTGTTGGTTGGCCACTGATCAGCTGACCTCCACACTCCACCTTATTCTTTGCTTACCGAATGGTTATGAGTCCAGGTTTAGGGAAGCTCCTAGACAACAATTCTAATCAATGTAGCCAATCGGGGTAATTCTATTTCCCTTACTAGTATCTAGTTAGGGAAATAGCACATGACCCAATTCTGGCTAAATCTGTCGAGAAGCTTCTGGTAAAATTTTTAAAGAAAAAGAACAAGATAGAAAATCCCTTTTCTACCTCTGGACATGAGAGCAAAGAGCTGCCATCTGGCAACCATGATGGGAAGGCTAAGAAGAGACAAGCTGGAGTTAGATTATCAAGCTGCTGTGTTAACTGACCCTTTTTGCTGTAGGAGACTGGTTATTATTTTTATCTTTACATATGAGGAAACTGAAGCACCAAGAGACTAAGTAACTCGTTCAAGGTCAGAGTGGTAGAGCCAGGATTCAAATCCAGGGAGCTTGCCTTCAGAGTCTTCATGTACCTCTCCAAAGCAATGTAACCGACATATGACCACTTCCAATAAGTACAGTGACATTATGGGGTCTTGCTTAATATTAAGAATACATAAATTGCCCTTGCCTATCTATAGGTTTTAATGGGTAACTGCATTGTACATATTTTACAGTGTCGCAGCTGTACATATATATCATGTTTTTTTTCCACTATTGCACACTCTTGGAAACAAGAATTCTAGACTAAAAAAAAAAAAGTGTTATTTGAAACAAGTCAGGAAAGTCCCAGGCACTCTGAGAAAGCTGTCTTCTGTAACTCTTAAATCCACCGGGACTTTATTTCGGCATATGGTAGGAGGTAATAAATAATTTCTCCCCGTGTACACTAAGACTGTTCACTGAATAATAGAGATAAGGTGGTCAGTGAGCACACTCCTCTAGTAATGCATCCTACTATGCAGTGAAGGGAGACAACATTAGGGAACACAAAAGACATGTCCCTTGATCTTGTGGAATTGAGTGGGGTAGTGGAACAGACAGACAATAGAATTTTGTGTGAGATGGCTGTTTTGAAGGGCTTGGCTCAGTGGCAGCTACGGAGTCTTACCTTTAAGCTGTGATGGAAGATTTCTAATGGACAGTACCTCTTGCACAACATACTGATTCACTCCTCCACTTTTCAGCAATTCTTCTGGGGCTAAGGGCAGATGGAACTCATACAGTTGGGAAGACATCCTTCTCCCACTGGCTCACAGGGCTGGAAATCAAACAGAAAATAGGTCACCACCTGTATCTAAGGTTGGTCTTTCTCCTGGTTCTATAATTCCCCCCCACCAACATATAATACTTTTTAGTCTTACATCAAGCTGATAACATTATTTTAGAAGATATGAGATCAACCCTGGAGTAGAATCTAATTTTACTCATGACTCTGCCACTTGGTCATGCCATAGGCCTCATCTGCACAAGGGAGTTACTAGTTTCTGATTACTTTATATTGTTGCTCTGAGAACCTAAGAGCCAAAGGGTATTAAAGTGTGTAAAGAACTGCAAAGTGGCATATTAATGCCTTGTGTTTGCATTATTATTTGTTTTTATGAGCAAAGCTTCTTGTCTCACCTAAGGACAGAACAGTGGCCTGGCAAGAGTGAGCGGGTTTCCTGGCTCCAGAATGGAAAAACATTAACATTTATTGCCTGCTTACTGTGTGCCAGGTTCTGTAAGCTATTTGAATATATCATATCTGATCTATTTCTTCAAATCCCACTCTCAAGGAGTGCATAATACAGCCCAATTTACATATGAGGAAAATGAAGCTAAGAATGGTTAAGCGATTTGCCCAAATTCTGCTGATCAGACTTATTGTTTCTTCCACATCGTACCCCAGGGATATACCCACTAGACACCCCCGCCTCTCCTATACTGTCTAACACCACCTCTTATTACCCCGCACCCTATTTCCACAGTCTTTCAATATCTGCTGTCCGTTAATACATCTTCCTTACCCGAGAGAACCTCACCGAGCCGTTCCTGGGACTCGGGTTGCAGACCAGAAATGAGGAAAAAACAGGGCGTGCGCAATACTCACCAATCAGCGGTGCAGAATTCAAGCGGGGAGAGAAACCGGCCAATCCTTGGCAAAAGGAGGTAAAAACGTGCCCGCGCAACACGCGGGCAAAGCGACAATTGTGAAATTTAAATTTCAACGGCCGAAAAGGGGCCAATCGCGACTTCCGCTGGTGAAACCGGCCAATCACAGAGGACGACCCGGAAAGCCCGGCCGCACCACCTAGAGAGGGGCGGAGCCTAGATTTAGGATCCCGCCCCCAGCCCCCCCCCCTCAGTCCTGCGGTACCCACGTTCCCTACGTGTTCCTTTAGTCCTAGTCGGTGGGGATAAGTTCCAATGTCGTCCAGAGATACCGCGTTTCTACCTGGGCAGGGTAGCGTCCCTGGGCTAGTGACCCACTCAGTCAAACCCAGGACAGGAGGCAAGTCCGGGCCGAGATTTAGAAGGTTTAGACTCCAGTCCAAGTTCCGCCATTTCTTAGCTAAGTGACGTCCAGCAGGTCACTTCACTCTCTGATTCCGATTTCCTCCCCTGTACAATAGGGGTGATTTTAAAAAAGGAAAAACAAAAACAAAACCCAGGCGCAGCGTAAAATTAGCGTGCCGAGTAGAGAAAGGAAGCTCTGGATTCCGGGATCTGGGGACCACTAAAGAAATGAAAGAGTGCATTTTTCTTGAAGCTCAGTTTCGGGACGCCCTAGACGACGAAGTGAAAGCCTCAGCTGTTCTGGCTCTCCAAGGTTTCCCGTTCGCTCAGCGGAAGCGCCTAGGAGGGGCGGGGTGTGAGTGACACCCGGTGGCCTGTGTGCGCCAGATCCTGAAGGCGGAACTTGTGGCTGGGGAAGGAGGAGCCTAGGATGTCTCTGAGCGCAGAGCTACCTGGGTAAGGCCCAAAATGGCTTTGTCCATGTAGTACCCGTGTGAGGCCCTCGCGGGCGGTTCTTGTCATCTCCTTGACGGTCACGTCTGGTCAGCACTCTGAGCGAGGGTGGTGTGCTATTGTAGGGGAGAGACGAGAACAATGGCAGGGAGCCTCGCTGTGGGTGCAGGAAGGCGCCTGTGGAGCTGGGTGCCCCTGGCCTGCAGAAGCTTCTCTCTGGGTAAGTGGCGAATATAGAGAGACGCTCTGGGAACTGCTTCTCAGTGAGCGGCCCCGGATGCAGTCTTTTTGTTCCTCATCCCTAGGTGTTCCTGGAATGTATTTTGTAAGGGTCACGGTCCCGCCCCGCAAAGTGGTTGATCGTTGGAACGAGAAAAGGGCGATGTTCGGGGTGTATGATAACATCGGGATCCTGGGTAAGACTCGACTCCACCGTACAACATGTAAGAATGGCAGTTATGCCGCAACGACTGCTTTTTCACACCTGTGGAGGAATGGTACCCTGCTCAAAAGAAGAGCAAATACGTGGCTATTTACGCTATGCTGGGCATTGTTCTGAGTGCCCCACATGTATTAACTCATTTAACCTACTTTATAACCTTTTCGCTTTACAAGTGAGGAAACCGAGGCCCAAAGATTTGGTTAAGTAATTTTTCCGAAGCTGGGAAATGGCAGTGCCATAATTTAAACCCCAGGAAGTCTGTGCTCTTGATACGCTCGTGTGCTGTGTCTGGTCTGTACGTGCTGCTCAGAAAAACACAACTGTATGCTGATGGCTTAGCTGGTCAAGACTGTGTTGTCATGGAACTAACACGTTCTCTCACATTACACAGGAAATTTTGAAATGCACCCCAAAGAACTAATTAGGGGGCCCAGGTGGCTTCGAGGCTGGAAGGGGAATGAATTGCAGCGTTGTATCCGAAAGAAGAGAATGGTCGGAAATCGGATGTTCTTTGATGACCTGCACAACCTTAACAAACGCATCAGCTATCTCTACAAACACTTCAACCGACGTGGAAAGTTCCGATAGAGGAGAAAGCTGGGGACCGTGGAAGAGGCATATCTATTAGAGAAGGGAAACAGCACTTTTCATGGTGTGGAAGGGGATTTGTGTGCTCTCCATAATAAAATGGGGCTTCTTTAAAATCCATCATCCACACACTTTATTTTTCTCTAGATGCTACTTTTACTCATTTGTGTAGACTTATCCCTAAGTCTTATAGTCTTAGATTTGGACTTTATCACTTGCCCTTTGCAGTCTAGCCATACCTATGGCCTTTAAAAAATAAAAATTATTGTTGGCACTTTTTGACATATAGATTTCATGTATTGAAAGTAGTAATTTTTAGTTGCCCCATAATACTAAATGTTAAATATATTTTTGAAAACCCTTTCACATGAGTTAAATGTAACAAAAATGGAATTCTATTTCTGTACTAGTCTCATAAAAAATATTGGGTACTTTTTCTGAGCTGAGTATTGTAGAAGAAACAAAAAAGTGTAATATATCCTTCACCCACTCCCTGCATATGCTTTTCTAGTTAGGATATAAACTTAATAGTCTCACATGTACACTTTAATATGAGGCATTAAGTACCATATGAATGCTCTGCCTGACTGATCATCAGAATCATCTCGGTAATTTAGCAATTTCCAAAGCCTGGTCCCTGTCTCCCAAAATCTGTGATTCGTGGAGCTGAGCTGAGTCTTATGCTTCTGTGTGTGTGTTCAATCCCTCCCCCCCAAAAAATCCGTACATACAATGCAAATTTAAAAATTACAAAAGGGTAATCAGATGAAACATGCTCTAATCTGATTATTTTTTGTTCCTTCAGGGGGCAACCACTCTTAAAAGATTCTTCTTGTTCTTTCACATATACTCTGCATGTACAAGTTTGTATTTAAAACTATATCTCCTTAAAAAAAATTGGATTTTATACACAGTTCTGTGCCTTGCTTTTTCACTTAATATAACTTGGATATTATTTTATATCTTCACATTATATACCACAATGATTTAGTCCCATTTTGATAAACCTTTATGGTTTTAGATTGTTTCTGGGCTTTTGTTTTTTCAAAGTATGACTCCTGTAATTTTAGGTAACTATAATCTTAAAGGCCCTTAGGTGATTTTAATGACACATGTTTGGAAAACACTGACGTGAATGATAAGTGACCTAGATAAAAAATGTATTAGGCCTAATCAGGAGAGGTTTTATAGAAGAGGTTGGGTTTTAGTAAGGAGAGAAAAAAATGGTAGAACATTTCAGGGAGGGAAAGAAAAATGATAAGGTGCACCATGAGAGAACAGTATGTCGAAAGATGGCAAGATAGGTCTAGCTATAATGAAGTGTAGTATGACACTAGGGAAAGCATTTGCAGTGTTGATTTTAAAGAAATCTATGTGAGTTGAAAGTACTACTGGGTTTCCGGGAGGGGTTTGGGGTTGATTAGCATAAGGTCTCTGGTATAGACTGTTGATTATAGTCGTAGGGTTTGGAGTCAGACAGGTCTGGATCTAAACTCTACCACTCTATTTGTGTGGCCTTAAATAAAGTAGTCAACTTCTATTAGGTTAGTTTTGCTTTGTTTTTTAAGCCTGTTAAGTAGGAGTAAAATAATACTTTCTTCATAGGGTCGCGTGAGGAATGAAAGTATGCATGTAAAATATTTAGTACAGAGTTTGGCAAGTGTAAATGACACTTGCCGGTAATGACAGTCCTCTGAAGTGTGTGAAGTCAAGAATTAGAAAAACCTGAAGAAGGAAATATGTTTTAAAAAATTACAGATAAAAGTTTGGATTTGAAGGTAGAGGAATTAGGATATTAGGTCTTTTATTTGATCCAAATCCTTTCAAGTAAGTACTTGCTTCAATTATCATAAATAACAATCCACCCCAAAATGTAGTGACTGAAAACAACAATTTATTAATTCATACTGTCTAGGTTGTTTGGGATCGGTAGGGTCATTCTACTCCATTTGGTGTGGGTTGAGGTCAGTTGCATTTGGCTGGGAGCTTGGCCAGAGCTAGAATGTCCAAGATGTCTTCACTGGTACGTCTGGTGACTCAGCCAGGGTGGCTGACATGCTTTTTCCATGTGATCTCCTTATTCTGTAGTCTAGCCCAAACTTCTTTACATGGAGGCTTGATCCCAAAGTTAAAGATGAAAACTGCAAGACTTGACAGGCACCGGCCAAGAAGTTTCATGATCACTTGTGTTCCATTTTAATGGTCAAAAGAAGTCACGGGTCAGCCCAGATTCAAGGCTCTGAGTGAATGCACTCCGTATTTAGATTGGGAGCAGCGTGCACTTACACAGGGGTTTGAAGAATTGTCAACAGCCATATTTGCAGTCTACCTCAGTAACCTTTTATGTCTTTCTTGGCACTTTTGGTAGCCTCAACAGAAGTGAAACTAGATTAACAACTACTTGTTAAGTGAAAAGTGGGTTTCAGAGAAATGGACTAATGAGTATGTGTGAACATACAATGCTGAGTCTTAGAGAAATATTAAAGAGTGCCAGGCTCATCATATGGAAGAGTTTTCAAAGGGGTGACTGGAGAGAAGCTAGGTATAAGAATGGAGAGTTGGTGTGAAGTATGAGTGGCTCTGGAATACTTTACGTGATTTGGTGGGATTGGAGAAGAGAAAATCAAATATTTGATGCTGTTAACTGCAAGGTGCTCTGAAGAATTACATGTACATGTTTTATCAGAATATGTGATTATTATTGAAGAGAAAACTGATAGTTCAGTTCAATGGCTGAACTGAATGCTTCCTGCTGTGAAACTAGAAAAGGTCTTGTTTTCAAGGACGGAGCAGTCTTGCTTTAGGTATGAAACAGTATGTAACATTTTCATTCAATAAATACTGAACCATTATGTGCAAGGTTATTTAGAGTACATAAATCACTAAGTCAGGATTGATTCCTAACTCAGTAGCTTTCATTCTATTGGAGATATGTGTGTAAACTATGAATTTGAATATGGTAATTACATAAGAAAATTACAGCCCTGGCTGGTGTAGCTCAGTGGATTGAGCGAGGGCCTGCTAACCACACGATTGCGGTTCGATTCCCAGTCAGGGCACATGCCTGGGTTGCAGGCCGGTTCCCTGCAGGCCAGTTCCCAGCAGGGGATGCACTGGAGGCAACCATACATTGATGTTTCTCTCCCTCTCTCCTTCGCCTCTAAAGATAAATAAATAAAATCTAAAAAAAAAAAGAGACCAGTGAATCAAAAAAAAAAAAAAAGAAAGAAAGAAAATTAGAGACTTCTATGAGGGTTCTTTTTTGGCTGGGAGTGGGGAGTAGTCAGAAAAGATACCTGTTGAAAAGATGACGTTTGAACTGAGTCTTGGAAGAGTTCAGCTGATGAACATGGGAAATCAACGTTAAGTATGAACAAAAACATCTATGGGCAGGAGATTTGATGGATAGAAAATAAGTCACGTTGGTGAGGGAATGGGGGGCAGCCTTGCCATGGGAACACAGATGTGCGAACAAAGGTGGGACTACTGACTTAGGTTCATAGAACTAAGTTAATGACCATTAACACATAACTAATCTTTTTCTAATAACAGGAAATAAGTTTGATATATATATATATATATATATATATATATATATATATATATATATATATATATATATTTTTTATTTAACCCTGTAGGCCAGAGCTGTTCACTCCTGGCTACATGTTAGAAACTTCTCAGAGCCTTTAAACTTAAAAAAAAAAAAAAAAAAAAAAAGATTTTATTTATTTATTTTCAGACAGAGAGGAAGGTAGAGAGAAAGAAACATCAATGTGTGGTTGTCTCTTGTGTACCCCCCAATTGGGCACCCACCTCACAACCCAGGCATGTGCCCTGACTGGGATGGAACTGGCCACCCCTTGGTTCACATGCCAGCCTTCAATCCACTGAGCCACACCAGCCAGGGCTCAGAGCCTTAAAAGAAATGAATAAAAGAAAATAAAAGACTAGGACCCATCCTAGACCAATGAAATCAATCTGAGCTAGGGTCCTAAGCATTCATATTTTTAAAATCTCCCAAGAGGTTTTATATTGGGGTTGAGTATCACTGCTTTGGAAAATGGAAAGAGGCAAGGAATAGCTTTTTAAGGTCCTTTTACTTTGATTTGGCTAAGTCTCAGAACTCATATTTTTGCTTTTTGATTTTGCTTGGTTTAATGTGTATCCGTGTCTGTCTTCCCCATGAGCTAAGCCTCACCCCCACTGAGGGCAGGGCCTGTCTTGCACATATTCGATTACTGCAGTAGTCTAATATCTGGCATATTAGGTAGGTAGCTTTTTATACGGATCGTTCTGCCTTGATGGATTCGACCTCCTCAGAGGAGGCCCGGCAGGCAGGGAGTGGGGACGCCGGCAGGTCTGGACGACAGAGATGTGCGTAGACTGACCACCACTACCTTCCCTAGGAGTCCAGAATCCCGGCCACTGGGAGCCGGGACCCACCCGCAGCTGTCGGAGGAAGCAGCACGATTGCCGGCAGCTGCAGGCGCTAGGGTCTGTGGCAAGCTCGGACTTCGGAAACAATTCACCGATTGGCTGGGAGACACCAAAAAATGCCTAACCCGAACTGTTGGAGTCGCCCTTCTAGAGGGCAGGCGCGTATTTCCTCAACGCCGGGTCCTTGGTTAGACAGATAACCCAGCTATAGTGTTGGTCAGTCAATGAGCTTCCCAACCGCTCCTTTCCGGCGTCCAGATGAGAGGAAAGCTTTGATTGGCCAGTTTGCTCTTGTCCCGGGCGTGGATTGGGTCGCAGCGTTGTCAACCTTTCCTGGAAGGCGTGGCCGACAATAATAAAGACTGGCCCTGCACGGCAGCTGCAGTAAATTCCACCGCAGCTAGACCTCTGGGTGGTCATCTGGACGCGGAGGTCCGCAGTTCCGTCAACTTCAGCCTCAGCGTTCCCTTCGTTGGGTGTCTTGCCGCATCTTCCAGGGAGGAGACCGACCCACCCCCTGTCAGAGAAATGTGAGTTGATTCTCATGTGGGGGGCTTGACATTACTTGCCAACTCTCACCGGCAGCGCCAGACTCTGCGCGATGGAAAATGGCGCATTGCAGCAGCTGCAGCGACGCCGGGAACCACCACTGCGCGTCGCCCCCAGACCTGACCACCCGCAGGGAGGGCGGCAGTACCCCTCTCCTTGAACTAGCCATAGCCAGTATCCCACAGGCGGGGCAGGGGCACGGGGGTCTCACATTCATTGCACCCTCTCTTCTTGCCTGAGGGGCGCCTCATTCAAGTCTCAGTATAGTGGAGCCCGGGAGAGGGCGAAGGTGG